GGGCGTCTCCCAGGCAACAGCTCCCGGAGGGCTCTTTGTGGCCCTGTTTTAGTCACCTCAAGTGGTAACTAGCGACCACTGCACCTCATGCTTGGTTCTGGAGCTCAGGCTGGAGACCCCCCTTTCAGGAACCGTCCTGCCTTGCCTCTGCTTGTCCTTCTGCTCTGCCGTTCCTTCCTCCTTCGTAGGCCCCTTCACTTAGGCACCACCGCCACCACCTCCCCACCACCATGTCAGTGACAGAGCAGTCTGCCCTGCTCAAAGATACTGTCTGTGACCAGTACGTTTTTCTCCCATGTACGTGAGCTTGGCCTCTCCAGGCCGCAGTGAGCCCTTTCCCTTTCCACAGCTCTCTCCAGGAGTGTCTGGCACAGAGAGCGCCGTGGGGCTGCTGGACCCTGGCACTGAGAGCAGACTCGTCACTCCCAGGAAACAGGTGGGAAGCATGGCAGCGTGGGCGGTGCTTCCGGTGCTGATGGCCTCACCCTCTCTCCCTGCAGGTCATCTTTCTGTCCAAGGGCAAGGATGCCATGCAGTCCTTCATGATGCCATTTTATCTCATGAAAGACTGTGAGATCAAGCAGCCCGTATTTGGTGCAAACTACATCAAGGGAACAGTGAAGGCGGAAGCGGGAGGTAGGTGATGGGAACTCAGGGACATGGATGGGGCTTCCAGGGAGGTGCCCTGGGAGCCTCTGACTGCCGCCCTGGGGGTGTCCCCTTCAGACCCTTATCGCCCTAGCCATGACCTCTTCCCAGCTCTGGGCTGCCAGCTGGTGGGGTTTGATTGCCAAGAGCTGGGGAAAATGCTGGCATTAAAGACGGCAGCTCAGGTCAGCTTTTCAGAGCGTGAAGTCTGCAGAAGCTTGCGGACTGAGTCAAGATGCTTAGTGCGCCTTGGCGAGTGCATACAAATTTTAGACTCAGGAAGGAGCTGCATCAGTTCTTGAGAGGGGCCTTTTCATGAGAGCCAGGAAGAGGCAACTGCCTCTGGGAAGCCAGAGTCACCCTGCTTTGGGGCTGGCTTTTTGGCAGGCCCCAGAGACCTCTGCACTGAACTTGCCTTCCCCTTGACACGCAGCCAGGCCCGCCCTTGCTATTGAGGCGCTCTTGGTCCCTCTTTGGGCAGAAGCCAAGCTAGAAGAGCTGGAGTCTGTCCTTGGACCCCCTTAGGAGGAGAGGTCTGCTCTGAATTTCAGGGTCGGGTGTTGCCGAGTGGGCTTGTGCCTGTGCAGCTGCCGAGTGCTTGAGTCGGGGTGGAAAGAAACCTTGATGTTAGCTCTAAAACCACACCAAGGTGGCCTTGGCACCTGTGTACATATTGGGCTGGTGGTGGGAGGACAGGCTTGTTCCAGGAAGGAGAGGCCCTTGTTCCAAAGGGGGAAGCGAGTATAGCAGGGCCTGGCCGGGCTGCAGTGCCGGCTCCTATGCAGGCAGCAGGCTGGAAACCATGGCACCGGGAAGTCCCCATCACAGTGCAGGCCCAGCTTCCCGCAAGCCTCCCGGGCGTCGGATGAAGCCCTGGAGAGGAAAACAGCCATCTCTTGGGGCATCAGTTTTCTTTTTCTGTGGTGTTTATTCGCTGTCCTTCCCCTCTCAGGTGGCTGGGAAGGCTCTGCTTCCTACAAGTTGACTTTCACAGCAGGGGGCGCCATTGAGTTTGGACAGCGGATGCTCCAGGTGGCATCTCAAGGTATCCAGGCTCCGAAGATTAGGGGCTGAGGACACACTGAACATGTAGGGGTTTAGTTTGAGTTTGCTTCCTTTTTGTTTTGCTTTTTTAAACATTCAAGAGGTAAGTGTCTGGGCACTAGGCTGAGCAGGCCTAGGAATTGGGAAGGAAAGCTGTCATTGGCGTGAGGTACAGCTCTGTCCTGTACCTCAGAGGCTGCGTTTCCCTGCCTGGAGCAGGTGGATCACGTTTTGACAAAGCTGTTTGGACTCAAGGACACTTTACTATGGCCTCATAAAACAAACACCAAACCAACCATTAAACTGCGGTTTTGCAGCCATTGAAAATGACCGAGGGATGGGCCCAGCAGACATCCTCCGCCAGCTCACTCCTACCCCAGCCCTGAGCCTCCCTCCCGGCCTCCGTCCACCCTCCACCCTTGTCCTTGACCTCCCTTGCCTTCCCCTGGCTCTGACCTCTCCTGTCCTCTGTCATCACCCCATCCCTGACCAAGGCAGCCCCGAGTGTGGGTGGAGAGTGGAGTGGGGTGGACAGAGCATGTCTGCTGGGCACACTCCTGGGCCCCAATAGCTCCCCTCTGCAGGCAGCGGGACCGCCCTCTCCCCGCCCCAAGGCAGGCCACACTCATTTCTCTTTCCCCTTGTACTTGTAGCCTCCAGAGGTGAAGCCCCCAATGGAGCCTATGGCTACTCTTACATGCCCAGCGGGGCCTATGTCTATCCCCCGCCAGTCGCCAATGGAATGTACCCCTGCCCTCCTGGCTACCCCTATCCACCGCCCCCGCCTGGTGAGTGTGTCCTTTGCTGCGCACCCTCCCCTCATGAGCCCACCTATCCAGGCTCCCCCCAGGCCAGGGAGGCTTCATTCCTTGAGCTGCTTCAGGACTAACAGAGGATCTGGAGAGGCCCCCCTCAGAGGGGGCCGCAGCCGGGTGCTCACCGGGTCCCTGTTGCTCTCTTGCCGAGCAGAGTTCTATCCAGGACCCCCCATGATGGACGGGGCCATGGGATACGTGCAGCCCCCACCACCGCCCTATCCTGGGCCCATGGAACCTCCGGTCAGCGGCCCCGATGTCCCCTCCACTCCTGCAGGTGAGGGCCTTTGGGTGCTGGCAGCCCTTCGCGACCAGCCCTCTCCTCCCCAGGGCTGCACAGAGAGCCTCAGAATGGCCAGAGACTGCTGAGAGCCGCAGATGATGGGTGACCCCTGGACTACCCCAGGGGCCCAGCAGGGCCGTGGCCTGTGGTGCGGAGCTAGATTCTGGCCCCACCCCCATCCCTTAGCTACCCACATGGCCTGGGCAGGGAAGGTCACCCTGTGTGCCTCGGTCCTCTCATCCTCTCATCTACACTCAGTTGGTCGGTCACGGTGGCACCTGGGGGGTTGGCTCAAGGATTAGATGAGGTGAGACATGCGATGGGCCTGGGAAGGACCATGCCAGCACGTGGCCCATGCTCAGGAAGCCTCACCTGCTGCTGTATTGGCGGAACTGGACCCCCAGCACCAGCTGCCCCGAGCCATGGGGGCCCAGGGTCTCTGGGCTAAGCTCAGGGGGATGAGAACTTGTCACTGACACTGGGTGTGTTTGCTCTCACAGCCGAAGCCAAGGCCGCAGAAGCAGCCGCCAGCGCCTACTACAACCCAGGCAACCCTCACAACGTCTACATGCCCACGGTGAGAGAGCGTGGCAGTGCCAGTGCAGCCCCGCAGCCACAGATGCTGGGAGCCGCAGGGGGAAGACCGCGCCATGTTTTAAAACTTCTAACGCGAATTTTCCCTTTCTCCCTTCTTTAGAGCCAGCCGCCACCACCTCCCTACTACCCACCGGAAGATAAGAAGACCCAGTAGGCCCTCCTGCCTCCCTGCCTCCCACCCTTATCTCTGTACCCTACCCCTCCCATCGGGGCTGCACTGGGGCTGGGGGAGGGGGCGCCTTGTTCTCCCTCCAGGTCTGATCATAAACAATTACCAGGAACTAGCATTGTGGGACATTAGGGCCCCCGGCCTCAGGAGAGGTGCCGCCCAGCTTCCCATGCCAGCCCAGAGCCCACAACGCTGCCCAGTGTGCCTCACTCACTGTCTGGGGCTCTCCTGGGAGCACGGGGCATCCCCTGTTCCTGTTTCACTCTCAGCTTCTCCCCTCGAAGGGACTCTCTGGCCACCTCCTCCACCGCAGTCCAGCTCCCTCAGTCTGGCAGCCACTGCTACACTCAGCCTCATGAGCCACTTCAGACCAGCCAGGTGTCTTCCCCGGCCCTGCCAGGCCCTGCTCACATTCCCTCCACTGGTCTATGCTGGTCTCAGAAGGCCACCGTGTCTGCATTCCACTCAGCCAGGGTCCAGCTGCAGCCCTGCCACTGTCCTTCCCTTCCTTGTCCTGAGTCATGCTGTTGCCACCCCGTGTGACTTTTGAAGCTGTAAAATGAGCTTCCAGGGCTTGGGTGGCGTCGGGGCAGGGCCGCCGAGGCTGGGAGGAAGTGCTTCTGCCTTTCGCTGGTGTTTCTGGAATTTGCTTTCCCTCACCTCTCACTTCCCTCTAGAAGGAGCTTCCTGACTGGAACCAGAGAATGCATGTCTGTCCACTTTTGGGCTGCTGGGTGGGGCTGGAAACAAGGGCCGCTGACCCTTCGTGCTGGCTGGGACCTGCCACTAGCCCCCCAGCCCGCTTCTTCCCCTTAAGCTTCGTGCCCCTGGATGCGCTAACATTCGCTCTTGTTTGTTCCTGGACTGGCCATGAAGTGAGGAGATGGTTATCTAAAGAGAATTCCCTATTTATTTGACAAAAAATCCAGTTAATATATTAATGTGAAATAAACCCTGTTTGCACCTTGATTTGTTTGCTGAAAATGTGAAATAGTAAAAATAAATAACTGGACCCTTTCTGGCTCTGCGTGTGGTGACCCAGGCGGTCTCTTCCGGAAGGAGAGCCGTCTGGCTGCCGAGGGCCCTGGAGGCTCCCGGGACAGTTCCCTCCCACGGGAGGATCCCCGTTCTCACGGCCCAGCTGTCTGGTCCCCAGGACAACTCTGGCCTCTGGAGCCGGTTCCTGTGGTCGTTGCTCAGCAGCTGTGTCCCTCCCCCACCGAGTGCCCCAAACCTGGCTGGGACAGAGGTGGATTCGGACCATCGTCAGCCTGGATGGGAGGGGTTGGGGTCACCACCTTGTCCCCTGCTGGCTCCTCGAGGAATGGCAGCCCTGGCCCAAGTCCTGGTTGCTGGAGGGAGGAGGCTGAGTCAGCCCTGGAGCATGTCAGGACCTGTGACAGGGACACTGGGGTAGCCGAGCTGGCTCACCACCACCCACGTCACGTGCCCTGCTGTGAACTTGAAGGGACAGGAGGGTGGGAAATGGCCAAAGGCCGTGGCCAGGCCCACGTGCCCCCGAGTCCCCCAGCCCAGCACTGGGCACAGAGTTCTGGGAAAGCCCCGTGCTGAGGTGCATTTTCCCGTCCCCCGGGAGCCAAGTCTGTCCTCGGGAGAGATCAGGCAGCGGCCACTCTGCCTTCTCCTCCTGGCCATCCTGGCCCGGAGCTCTCTGGGACTTGGCTAAGCCCCCTTCAAGGGCGTTTGAAGAGAGCAACCTCCTGACCGCCAAGGTGGGGACAAAGGCACAGGGCCATCCCTGCCGAGCACAGCTTGGCCCTGTCATCTCCATGGAATGTCACCTGTGGGGCCAGGCAGGCTGAGCAACTGGCTGTCCTCCAGGGAGGCGCCTCTTGGAGCCCTCACCTTGAGCCCCACCCCACGTCTGGATGCACTCGAGGAAGTGGGGCGAGAACCCCCTGGGGCCCAGGTCAGCTTCCCTCAGGGTCCTGCCCAGCCTGGGCGCAGCACATGGATGGGGCAGGAAGCGGCCTACCTGTTCTGGCCCCCCGGCCCCCTGCTGAGAGCGTTGGCCCCTTCCTAGGGCCTCTGTGGGAGGGTGGGGCGGGGCCAGGCCTGCCCACAGGGTCCACCTTCTGCTCCAGCCAGAGGAGGGTCCTGTAGGGATCCCGGCTGGGGAAGGTGCAGGGGGCCTGGGAGACTGCCTCTCCGAAGCGGTGAAACCCTCACCCTTCCGTCCCCACTACCACCCTCCCTACACCCTCCCCTGACAGAGGGTGGCAGCCCCAGGCTCTTTGCATAATCCTGTGGCTTCGCTGTCTTCAGCCAGCACCAACGGACAGGGAAGGGCAGAGAAGGCCACCATGGCGACACTCCTCTCTCATCTGCAGCAGCGCCCTCCCCTCTTGCGCCAGGCCATCAAGATAAGGCGCCGCAGAGTCAGAGATCTACAGGATCCCCTGCCCCAAACGGCCCCGGAGGTAGGAGTGACCTCACTGGGGAGAGAGCTGGCCTTGGGGAGCACTGCGGTCTCGGGTGTGGGTGCCCTGCTGTCTGGCCCCACCTCTCGAAGGCTGGGACTGGGGACCAGGGACCCTCCCCTGTCTACCCCACCCTGGGGAGAGCCTCCTGGGCCAGCAGAGCAGGGGCTGCCAGGTGTACTCTGGGCCACTGTGAGACTCAGGCCCTGCGGTCTCAGCCTCTCTGAACCCCTACCTCCGGTGGGCCTGACTTCCCATCCCCTGCTCCTCCAGCTCCAGAGGAGCCGACTCCGTTAGGTGGGGGTGTCCCTGCTGTGGGGTGAGCTGTTCGGGGAGCAGCAGACCCCTAGGCCGGCGTGGCACCCCCCTCACCTCCGCTGCTGAGCCTCACTTCCGCTGCTGGGTGAGGAGCAGCCGCCGCCGATAAGCAGAGCTGTTTCCTCTGGGGAAGGGAGGGAGGTGGGGTACGGGTGTGGAGGGCTCGCGTTGCTGGGCGCCCATGGACCTCAGCCACGGCGGGCCAGGAGACGGACCTCCAGGAGGCCTGCTGGGGGAACAGGTGCGGGGCATCAGTGGGGCTGGAGGCCAGGGTGCTGGGGCCCCCATACCCTTGGCCTGGTTCAGGCCTTGGAGGAGCTGTTCCTGTCCATCTGAGCCTGCTCTGGGCCTCCCAGGACACTCTGCCTTTCCACCTTGTTTTGCAGATCCAGCCTCCGTCCCACCACTTCTCCCCCGAGCAGGTAAGAGTCAGAGTGTTGGGGTGCAGAGAGGTGGGGAGGGTGGCTGTGCATCCTCCTGCTGGCCGACGCTGATGGCAGCAAGCAACTTGTGGTGGGGAGGGGACTCCGGGGTCTCAACTCCCTCCGCTGCACAAGCCACCCCTTGTCCTGCCCTTAGCGAGAGGTGTTGGTGCCAGGGGTGGCTGGTGGGGTCCCCAAGGTGACCCCGTGTGTCTCAGCGGGCCCTGCTCTATGAGGACGCACTCTACACTGTCCTGCACCGCCTGGGTCAGCCTGAGCCCAACCATGTGACGGAGGCCTCTGAGCTGCTGCGGTACCTGCAGGAGGTGAGCCCAGCCCCCACCCCACCCCCCTTCCTGCAGCTGCCCTGTCTCGTGCCCCCAGCCACCCACCCGCCTGCCTCCCCAACAGGCCTTCCACGTGGAGCCCGAGGAGCACCAGCAGGCGCTGCAGAGGGTCAGGGAGCTCGAGGTAACTTGGGGCCGGGGCCACCCTGTGCAAGGACGGGCCTGGGAAGCCCAGCTCCCTCAGGGACTCAGGCCATCCCTCCTGTCCCTCCAGAAGCCAATATTTTGTCTGAAGGCAACCGTGAAACAGGCCAAGGGCATTCTGGGCAAAGATGTCAGTGGTGAGCATGGGGCGGGGTCCCCGACGGGCTTCTTCCTGGCTCCTTCCTCTCCCATCACAGCCTGGCCCAGGACTCTTGGTGGGAGCACCCACCTCCCAGAAGCTCTGCAGTGCTGGCCCCATGCTGCTGGTCCTCTTCTCTCTCCCCAGGAGGAGGCTTAGCCCCGGGCGAGGGTGATGAGGGCCTTTCCCAGGGACCCAGCCGACTCCCTGGCTGCCTCGTCTTCCCCACTCCTCCCCAGGGTTCAGCGACCCCTACTGCCTGCTGGGCATTGAGCAGGGGGTCAGTGTGCCGGGGGGCAGCCCCGGGTCCCGGCATCGGCAGAAGGCTGTGGTGAGGCACACCATCCCCGAGGAGCAGACCCACCGCACGCAGGTCATCACCCAGACACTCAACCCCGTCTGGGACGAGACCTTCATCCTGTACGTGGTCACACTCCAGCCCCCACTCTGTCCAGGTCTCCTCTGGGTAGCAGGGTCTCCCCCAGATAATGAGATGAGTAGGTTGTCCTGGCTCGGGGAGGGGGTTTGGCTCTGGACAAAGACTGGAGAAAAAGTCCATCTCTAGGCACGTTAAATGGACAGTAGATCAGATGGGACAGAACGACATCAATGCCACATGTGCTGATGGGGCAAGGAGGGTCGGGCCTTTGTGAGTGAGTCTGGGGGTGCCTGAAGCCATACCTGAAAGGAGGCAGGGACAGGTGCGGTGGCTCACGCCTGTAATCCCAGCACTTTGGGAGGCTGAGGTGGGCAGAGCACTTGAGGCCAGGAGTTTGAGACCAGCCTGGCCAACATGGCAAAATTTTGTATTTTTTTCTACTAAAAATACAAAAAAGGCCGGGCGCGGTGGCTCACACCTATAATCCCAGCACTTTGGGAGCCGAGGCAGGCAGATCACGAGGTCAGGAGATCGAGACCATCCTGGCTAACACGGTGAAACCCTGTCTCTCCTAAAATACAAAAAATTAGCCGGGCATGGTAGCAGGCACCTGTAGTCCCTGCTACTCGAGAGGCTGAGGCAGGGGAATTGCTTGAACCTGGAAGGCAGAAGTTGCAGTGAGCTGAGATCCAACCTGGTGACAGAGCAAGACTCTGTCTCAAAAAAAAAAAAATTAGTGGGGTCCGGGCGCAGTGGCTCATGCCTGTAATCCCAGCACTTTTGGGAGGCTGAGGCAGGTGGATCACCTGAGGTCAGAAGTTTGAGACCAGCGTGGCCAACACGGTGAAACCCCCTGCTCTCCTAAAAGTACAAAAATTAGCCAGGCGTAGTGGTACATGCCTGTAATCCCAGCTACGTAGGAGGCTGAGGCAGGAGAATCGCTTGAACCAGGGAGGTAGAGGTTGCAGTGAGCCGAGATCGTGCCACTGCACTCCAGCCTCGGTGACAGAGTGAGACTCTGTCTCAAAAAAAAAAAAAAAAAGGGCATGCTTGTAATCCCAGTACTTTGGGAGGCGTAGGCAGGCGGATCACGAGGTCAGAAGCTCAAGACCAGCCTGGCCAACACAGTGAAACCCTGTCTTTACTAAAATTACAAAAATTAGCTGGGCGTGGTGGTGGGCACCTGTAATCCCAGCTACTTGGAAAGCTCAGGCAGAAAAATCATTTGAACCTGGGAGGCAGAGGTTGCAGTGAGCTGAGATCCTGCCACTGCACTCCTCTAGCCTGGGGACAGAACTAGACTCCATCTCAAAAAAAAAAAAAGGCAGTGATGCGGGTATGAGGAGAGGAGTTTGGCAGGGATAGGCTACAACTCCATAGCTCTGGGCTCTGATCACTTTCGGCTTCGGCTGGGGGCATCCACCCTCCAGGGCCCTCAAGCACACCCTCTTCTCCATATAGGGAGTTTGAGGACATCACCAATGCAAGCTTTCATCTGGACATGTGGTGAGTGACCGGGCCTGCACCTAGGGATGGGAAGGGAAGGGATCTGGGGTGAGAGAGGCAGAACCTCCTCCTGGAAGAGGTCCTAGGCGCGCTCTCTGCTTCCTTCTCAAACCTCTGTCCTGCCAGGGACCTGGACACTGTGGAGTCTGTCCGACAGAAGCTTGGGGAGCTCACAGATCTGCATGGGCTTCGCAGGTGCGTGTTGCAGGGCTCACAGGGAAGGAGTGAGGGCTCCTTCTGCCCTCCATCCCCCGACATGCACACTGGATGCTGGGGTGCAGGCTCCTTTGGGGTCCAGGTGGCTGTAGCGGGGTGGGGGGTAGATTCCAGCCTGATCCCTTCTGACGCTTGCTGCATCCCCTTCATGGGACCCTGCCTGACGAAGGATCTTTAAGGAGGCCCGGAAGGACAAAGGCCAGGATGACTTTCTGGGGAACGTGGTTCTGAGGCTGCAGGTGAGGAGGAGGAAAGGGCCCCAGGAGTGAGGCAGAGGGAGGGGGTTGGGAGGGGTTCTGGGGAGAGGCTCCATGTCCTCACCAAGCTGAGTCTGGAGTCCACCTCCTGTTGTCTCCACTGCCCCTGCCTCTGTGAGGTTCTGACGCTCACGGGCTGGGCATCCCCGCCTGCCAGGACCTGCACTGCCGAGAGGACCAGTGGTACCCCTTGGAACCCCGCACTGAGACCTACCCAGACCGCGGCCAGTGCCACCTCCAGTTCCAACTCATCCACAAGCGGGTAGGTCGGGTCCTGGGCCAGTGGCTGTGCCCAGCTCCTGCGGTGGTCTGCTGGGTTGGGGGTCTGGCTGCACCCGGTGTGGGGCCCTGTCTGCTCACAGAGGCCTCATTGCAGAGAGCCACCTCGGCCAGCCGCTCACAGCCCAGCTACACGGTGCACCTCCACCTTCTGCAGCAGCTCGTGTCCCACGAGGTCACCCAGCACCAGGTACTGCCCTCCCAGGGCTGGGCGCAGCCGGGGCTGCCCTTCAGGTCCTGATACTCCTCCACCTGCTCCACTCAGGCGGGCAGCACCTCCTGGGACGGGTCGTTGAGTCCCCAGGCTGCCACCGTCCTCTTTCTGCACGCCACACAGAAGGACCTGTCCGACTTCCACCAGTCCATGGCGTGAGTGCACAGCCCTGGGCAGAACTAGCCCCCCACGCTCCCTGCCCTCCTCCAAGCTGGTAGCCCAAAGTGTAATTCTCAGCGGAGTTCCCTTTGGCCCAAAATGTGTGTTTTAAGTTTTGAATCAGTTGCCAACTTTAAAAAGTCTAGAGATTTGGCTGATGTGGTAGCTCATTCCTGTAATCCCAGGACTTTGGGAGGCTGAGGCAGGAGGATCACCTGAGCCCAGGAGTTCAAGGCTGCAGTGAGCTATGATCACACCAACAGTCCTGCCTGGACCACAGAGTGAGATCTCATTTCAAAAACATACTAGAAAAAGCAATCTGGAGATTTCACATACCATCCAGATCTCCAGCTTCTCGTGAAACACAAGTGTTGGAACTTCAGGGCCATCATTTTGCTGCTTTTTTCTCTTTTGAAACAGAGTTTTACCCTTGTTGCCCAGGCTGGAGTGCAATGGCGTGATCTTGGCTCACTGCAACCTCCGCCTTCCAGGTTCAAGTGATTCTCCTGCCTCAGCCTCTCGAGTAGCTGGGATTACAGGCGTGCTCCGCCACACGCAGCTAACTTTGCTTTTTTTTTTTTTTTTTTTTTTTTTTGAGTCGGAGTCTTGCTCTGTGCCCCAGGCTGGAGTGCAGTGGCATGATCTCAGCTCACTGCAAGCTCCGCCCCCCCGGGTTCACGCCATTCTCCTGGCTCAGCCTCCCGAGTAGCTGGGACTACAGGCGCCCGCCACCTCGCCCGGCTAATTTTCTTGTATTTTTAGTAGAGACGGGGTTTCACCATGTTAGCCAGGATGGTCTCGATCTCCTGACCTCGTGATCCGCCCGTCTCGGCCTCCCAAAGTGCTGGGATTACAGGCTTGAGCCACCGCGCCCGGCCACTTTGCATTTTTAGTAGAGACGGAGTTTCTCCATGTTGGTCAGGCTGGTCTCGAACTCCCGACCTCAGGTGATCTGCCTGCCTCGGCCTCCCAAAGTGCTGGGATTACAGGCGTGAGCCACTGCGCCCAGCCATTTTGCTGCTTTTTTGAGTGGCCAGAGCAGTGATGTGTCTGCCTCTGCCTGTCACAGCTGCCACTGGGCCCACTTCAGTTGCTTTCATCTCCTGAGTCTTTCTGGGCATTTGAATTTGGACCCCGTCCCTAACCCCAGCCCCGTTTCCCAATGCCATAGCCTTCAACTCAGCAAAACTATGCGCTGATAAGGACAGATCTATGTTGAGGGCCGCTCACGTCAAGTCCTAGGAATGCTGAGGAGGTCACAGGGGGTCACAGTCATTCCAGTGCCTGTGAGAAGGGCAGAGATGGGACACAGCCAGCCGGGCGCAGTGGCTCGCACCTGGAATCCCAGCACTTTGGAAGGCCGAGGCGGACAGATCACTTGAAGTCAGGAGTTTGAGACCAGCCTGGCCAGCATGGTGAAACCCTGTCTCTACAAAATATACAAAAATTAGTCAGGCGTGGTGGCGCATGTCTGTAGTCCCAGCTACTCAGGAGGGTGAGGCACAAGAATCACTTGAACCCAGGAGGTGGAGGTTGCGGTGAGCTGAGATCACACCACTGCACTCCAGCCTGGGTGACACAACGAGACTCTGTCTCAAAAAAAAAAAAAAGAGATGGGACATAGCCAGGTGCTGGCCAGGGGAGGAACAGGAGCAGGATATTGCCTCAGGCCTGGGCTGGGCTGTGACTTGGAGTCTGAGTGGGAGGCGGAGGGAGCCCAGGGGATGCATTTCTGGGTCGGGGTCAGCATGTGTACTGCTAGGACCTCAGGCAGGTGGGTGATCCATAAACGAGGGTGGAATGGCGGTGAGGCTGGAGACTGGAGCAAGCACCAGATGGGGAGGGGCCTGGTTTGCCTGCAGGGCCCAAGCACAGTAATGCAAGTGGCTGCAGTGTCCAATAGGGACCTCGGCCTGTCCCCAGGCTGCTCCTCTCACCCATCCTCTGCCTTCCCACTGGACCTCTGTGTGTGACATCCCTCCAAACCGTCTGAAAGGAGGTTCTCGATGATGCTTGCCACATGTGCACGAAGGCTCAGGTCCTTAGATCCTATTTTTCTTTTTTTTTTTTAGCTGGAGTTTCCCTCTTGTTGCCCAGGCTGGAGTGCCATGGCACAGTCTCAGCTCACTGCAACTTCTGCCTCCCGGGTTCAAGTGATTCTCCTGTCTCAGCCTCCCAAGTAGCTGGGACTACAGGTGCCCACCATCACGCCTGGCTAAATTTTGTATTTTTGGTAGAGATGGGGTTTCACCATGTTGGCCAGGCTGGTCTCGAACTCCTGACCTCAGGTGATCCACCCAAGTTGGCCTCCCAAAGTGTTGCGATTACAGGTGTGAGCCACTGCACCTAGCTGATCCAATTTTTCAAAAACAGCAAGAAATCCTGAAGTTTTAAAATCACAAATATCTCAATCTGGGCAATTTGAAAAGCATCTATGGAAACAAACAAACAAAAATCCTGGCTGGTCACGGTGGCTCACGCCTGTAATCCCAGCACTTTGGGAGGCCGAGGCGGGTGGATCACTTGAGGTCAGGTGTTCAAGACCAGCCTGGCCAACATGGTGAAACCCCGTCTCTACTAAAAATATAAAATTTAGCTGGGCATGGTGGTACATGCCTGTAGTCCCAGCTACTTGGGAGGCTGAGGCTGGAGAATCGCTTGAACTCAGGAGGCACAGGTTGCAGTGAGCCGAGGTTGCACCACTGCACTCCAACCTGGGTGACAGAGTGAGACTACGTCTGAAAAAAAAGTCCTGCATGTCCTATTGAGACACTAGTTTTCAGCCTGTGCTGGTGGATGGTTCTCCACCAGGGGCCCTGGAGGAGGGAGATGATTCCCTCCACCTAAGGCCAGGTGAAGAGGGGAAGGTGACTCCCTCCTCCCTGCCCAGCTGAGGGCTTCCTGTCCCCTGCAGGCAGTGGCTGGCCTACAGCCGCCTCTACCAGAGCCTGGAGTTCCCCAGCAGCTGCCTCCTGCACCCTATCACCAGCATCGAGTACCAGTGGATCCAGGGTCGGCTCAAGGCAGAACAGGTAGGCATGCAGTGGGCAAGGGGTACTGGGCACGCAGGGCTCAGGGAAGGGGCAGGGGAGCAGCAGAGGCTGTCCAGGCTCCTAAAGCATCTCCTGGCTCTGCAGCAGGAGGAGCTGGCCGCCTCATTCAGCTCCCTGCTGGCCTACGGCCTCTCCCTCATTCGGAGGTTCCGCTCTGTCTTCCCCCTCTCTGTCTCGGACTCCCCAGCCCGGCTGCAGTCTCTTCTCAGGTCAGTGACTGCTCTCCCCTTCCTCGGTGGGGTCAGGGATGAGGGAGCAGCTGGGGTGCCTGCAGGAGTGGGAGAAGCCTGTTGGAGGAGTGAGTGCTGTGTGGGGCAACAGGCACTTTGGACACAGCTCTTTTCGTCTTGCAGGGTCCTGGTACAGATGTGCAAGATGAAGGCCTTTGGAGAACTGTGCCCCAACACCGCCCCATTGCCCCAGCTGGTGACTGAGGCCCTGCAGGTATGGTACTTGTGCTGGGGATGGGGGAGACCAGTGTCTGGGCCTGGCAATCCCTCCCTGCTCACTGCCTCTTTGTCGACAGACTGGCACCACTGAATGGTTCCACCTGAAGCAGCAGCACCATCAGCCCATGATGCAGGTGAGGCGCTGGGCAAGGGGGAGTGTTGGGGGGCACAGGGGGTGGTGCCTGCCTCTGGCAGCCCTGCCCAGCCCACCTCTGTCTCTGCAGGGCATCCTGGAGGCAGGCAAGGCCTTGCTGGGCCTGGTACAGGATGTCATCGGCGACCTGCACCAGTGCCAGCACACGTGGGACAAGATCTTCCACAAGTGAGCAGATAGCCAGGTCGGGAGGTAGTGGGGCATTGGCTCAGAGCCGGAACCACAGGGACCCTGGTGTATGGCACTGGGTGACATCTGCTGCCTTTCCTCCAGTACCCTCAAGATCCACCTCTTCTCCATGGCTTTCCGGGAGCTGCAGTGGTTGGTGAGTCCCTCCCCTGTCTCTAGGGCGTGCTGTCTGACAGGGCTGTGGACCCCACCCTCCACACCTTCCCTTTGCAGGTGGCCAAGCGGGTGCAGGACCACACGACGGCTGTGGGTGATGCAGTGTCCCCAGAGATGGGCGAGAGTCTGTTCCAGCTCTACATCAGCCTCAAGGAGCTCTACCAGCTGCGTCCAAGCTCCTCAGAGAGGTGGGCAGCAGGCCAATTGCGGGCGGCCGCAGGGGCACAGGGGAGGGGAGGGTGGACGAGGCCCCAGGGCCCATGGTGGCCCCAGCCTTTCCGACGCTGAGCCCCGGCAATCCCCAGGGATGGAGTCCTGGCCCTCGATAATTTCCACCGCTGGTTCCAGCCCGCCATCCCCTCCTGGCTGCAGAAGACGTACAACGTGGCCCTGGCGCGGGTGCAGCGCGCTGTGCAAATGGATGAGGTGGGGGCGTGGCCAGGGTGGGGGATGGGGCCCCGGTTTGGGGGTGAGGCTTGGGTTCTGCCTGGACCTCCAAAGTGTAGTGAAAGCTGGTAACCCTCTCTGAACATCCCTTTGGGGTGCACTTGAGGCCAGTTGTGTGCAAAATGCTGCCTCTGGATATCCTTGGGGCTGTGGCTTCACTTCGCCTGAGATCCTGCAGCCTGTGTGTCTGGGCTGAGCAGTGCTTGTCTCATGTGAAGCTCCCTGCCCAGCTCTGTGCCTGGTGGTGGTAGCCGCTCTATGGATGAAGGAGGGAGGGGAGGGGGTGGATTTGGCAGTATCCTCAGTCCTCCTTTCTTCCCCCAGCTGGTACCCCTGGGTGAACTGACCAAGCACAGCACATCAGCGGTGGATCTATCCACCTGCTTTGCCCAGATCAGCCACACTGCCCGGCAGCTGGACTGGCCGGATCCAGAGGAGGCCTTCATGATTACTGTCAAGTTTGTGGAGGTGTGGTATCTTCCACGTGTCCTTCCCCCTCTTTCTAGAATACCACCCACCGTTTCTCCCGAGCTCTCACCCAGGCAGTCTCCCAAGGCCTGTGTCCTAAATCCCCCAAGTCGCTGAAATTTCCATGCCCTTCCCACCTGCCCTTCTTGGATGCCCCACCCATGAATCCGTTCCCTCTGTCCAACCCCACCCTAGGACACCTGTCGCCTGGCCCTGGTGTACTGCAGTCTTATAAAGGCCCGGGCCCGCGAGCTCTCTTCAGGTCAGAAGGACCAAGGCCAGGCAGCCAACATGGTAAGGCCAGAGCTGGGGCTGGGAGTCTGGCTGGGTGTGGGGACCAGCCCGGACGCAGTTCAGGAAGCTCTGCATCTCTGTCCCAGCTGTGTGTGGTGGTGAATGACATGGAGCAGCTGCGGCTGGTGATCGGCAAGTTGCCCACCCAGCTGGCATGGGAGGCCCTGGAGCAGCGGGTAGGGGCCGTGCTGGAGCAGGGGCAGCTGCAGAACACGCTGCATGCCCAGCTGCAGAGCGCGCTGGCCGGGCTGGGCCATGAGATCCGCACTGGCGTCCGAACCCTGGCCGAGCAGGTACCTTGTCCGACCGCACAGTCACCCCATCCCCTCCCGTCCTCAGCCTGCCTGGTTCCAGCAGGACCTGGGCCCGTGTCCAGCCCTGACCCCTTCCTGCGTCTAAACTCAGGCACTAAGGAACTCTCCCATCCCCAACTCATGCCCTGACCTCCCTCCTTCTTCCGTTTTGTGTCTCCAGTTGGAGGTGGGCATTGCCAAGCACATCCAGAAACTGGTGGGCGTCAGGGAGTCCGTCCTGCCTGAGGATGTAAGTGGCCCTTCTGTCTGCTGGCCTTCACCGCCCTGCCAGCTCTGTAGATCTGGGGTCACTGAAGGCCTTGGTGTCAAAGATAAGTCCCCCAGACCAGGCAAGGCATGTTCTCTTCCTGGGCCTCAGTTTCCTCCTGGGATGCTCACAGGAATGGGTTGGGTCACTCCACCGTCTGTCCCAGCACTGACAGTCAATGAGGGGACTGCAGCTGGGGAGGGCTTAGGCTTTGCAACCCAACAGGCCAGGGTGCACATCCTTCTCAGCTGCCTCCTAGCTTTGCTGTCCTGCTCACACAAGCCAGCTGGCCTGTAAGTGGGGGCATATCATGACGCACACCTTCGACTGCTGGGTAGAAGGATATTCATTCATTCATCAACTATTTATCAGGTGTCCACTTTGTCCTATGCATTGATTTAAGCACTGGGGATAGGTCAGTGAACAATATGACAAAATACCCGCTTTCCTGGAGCTGACATTCTAGTAGTGGAGGTGAGAGAAGAGCTATCCGTAACTACAGTGATCATTATAGCTATTAACTCTATGCACAGACGTGTGTGCGCATGCACACATGCAGTGTGCTAGATAATGATAAATGCTACAGAGAAAAGACAGAGAAGGGGGTGGGAAGTGTCAGAGGGTTGTATTTTTAGATGGTGACCAGGGAAGGCCGTGACAACTGAGTGAAGACCTACGGGAAGCAGGGGGAGGAGCCATGAGAAGTTCTAGGGGAAGGGCATTTCAGGCAGGCAGAACGGCAAGGGCAGAGACCCTGAGGCAGGACCATGCCTGGAAGGTTCCAGGGCTGTAGAGGAGGCCAGTGTGGCTGGGACAGGCTAAGCAACGGAGAGGGGAAGGCAGAGAGGTGGGCAGTCCGGCCTCTTACAGACATTACAAACTGCTCTCACAGAAAGGCCCTGTTTCCTCCCCCCAGGTCAGGGGAAGGGGATGGGGGTGGGGCCAACATGAGCTGGAGCCACACCTGCTCGCCTTCTCCCTCCCCAGGCCATTCTGCCCCTGATGAAGTTCCTGGAGGTGGAGCTTTGCTACATGAACACCAACTTGGTACAGGAGAACTTCAGCAGGTCTGTAGCAGCCCCTGCCCTGGGCGTGCTCACCACCTCCCCCTCTCCTCCCACGGCCCCTCCTTCCTGGGCCCCAGCATCCGTTCTGAGGGGCGTAGCAGCCCCTGCCCTGGGCGTGCTCACCACCTCCCCCTCTCCTCCCACGGCCCCTCCTTCCTGGGCCCCAGCATCCGTTCTGAGGGGTGTAGCAGCCCCTGCCCTGGGCGTGCTCACCACCTCCCCCTCGCCTCCCACGGCCCCTCCTTCCTGGGCCTCAGCATCCGTTCTGAGGGGTGGAGGTGAATCCCTTTGGTGACCTCCCTTACAGGGTGGTCAGGCTCTGCTAATGCTCGCTGCAGGGACAGGGAGCTTGCCACTTTGCAGGCCTCCCCATTTCCTGCTGCCTAACTCTGAGTGCTTTGAGTTCTTCCTTAGGCTGAGCCAAAATCTGCCTGTCCTTTCTCCTTTAGTCCCAGGCCTGTCTTCAGGGCCTCCCTGACTGCTCCTCTGCCCCCATTAGGTTACAGGTGGTCCGCGCCCACGGTGCACGGAGAACTTCTAGTTAGGGGGTCTTATAGCAGGGACCCAGGATGCCAGGCAACAGGCGGTGGAGTCCAGCACGTGGGCTCTGGACCACCTGGGTTCAGACTCCAGCTTCATCACTGCTTAGCAGCCTTGGGCAAGTTCCTGGTGCAGATGAGAATAGTTCTGGCTTCTGCTGAGGATTAAATGGGTCATGTGAGATGCTGAGCGTGGTGTTAGTACAAAGGAAGTGGTCAGTGATTATTAGCTGTAGTGACGATGACGATGACAGTGCCCACCTCCCTCTGGAATCTGGGCGCTGAAGAGGCCGCCTGCCCTCCTAGAGTTCTGTTCCACCCCCACAGGTATAGTCAGGGCCCCTTGGAGCCCAGCCGTTTTTATTTCTTAAACCATGTATATATGTTTTTTATTTTTTTGAGATGGAGTCTTGCTCTGTCGCCAGGCTGGAGTGCAGTGGCGCCATCTCAGCTCACTGCAACCTCCGCCACCGGGTTCAAGTGATTCCCTGCCTCAGCCTCCCAAGTAGCTGGGACTACAGGCTTGTGCCACCACGCCCAGCTAATTTTGTATTTTTAGTAGTGACGGGGTTTCTCCATGTTGGTCAGGCTGGTCTCGAACTCCTGACTTCATGATCCACCCGCCTTGGCCTCCCAAAGTGCTGGGATTACAGGCGTGAGCCACCACTCCCAGACTGTTTTTAACATTTTATTTATTTTTTTCACCTTTAAGCTCTGTTGGACTTGATCTTAGACCATATTTTTCACATAAACCAGAGTTAAACATCCACCAAGAGGGAAGTTTTGCTCAGTGCTCTCAGGAGCCTTTAGAACACCACCAGGCATGGTGGCTCATGCCTGTAATCCCAGCACTTTGGGAAGCCAAGGTGAGTGGATCACTTGAGCCCAGGGGTTCAAGACCAGCGTGGGCAACATGGCAAAACCCGGTCTCTACAAAATTATACCAAAATATATATATATATATTTTTATATTTATATTTATTTGTGTGTATTACAAAAAATTAGCCAGGCATGGTGGAGTCTACCTGTAGTCCCAGCTACCTGGGAGGCTGAGTTGGGAGGATCCCTTGAATGCAGAAGATGGAGAGGATCCCTTGAACACAGAAGGTGGAAGCTGCAGTGAGCCGTGATGGCACTGCTGCACTCAGCCTGGGTGACAGAGTGAGACCCTATCTGAAAAAAACTTTGGAAAGAACAGTGCCGGGTACATAATGGACACTTAAATGTGTTGCACAAATTAATTAACTACTTTTTTGGCGGGGGGATGGAGTCTCTCGTTCCTGACCTCAGGTGATCACCCCACCTTGGGCTTCCCAAAGTGCTGGGATTATAGGCGTGAGCCACTGCGCCTGGCCATGCTTTTTTTTTTTTTTTTTTTGAGATGGAGTTTTGCTCTTGCTGCCCAGACTAGAGTGCAACGGCATGCATGATCTGGGCTCACCGCAACCTGCACCTCCCAGTTCAAGCGATTCTCCTGCCTCAGCCTCCCAAGTAGCTGGGACTATAGGCGCGCACCACCACGCCCAGCTGATTTTTGTATTTTTAGTAGAGACGGGGTTTCACTATGTTGGCCAGCATGGTCTCAATCTCTTGATCTCCTGATCTATCTGCCTCGACCTCCCAAAGTGCTGGGATTACAGGCATGAGCTACCGCGCCTGGCCTGCTACTGTCTTAAATCAAGTTCTGTCACTGGGGGCCTGGCCTCCTCCCTGTCTCCAGCCTTGTTTGTGGGTTCCATTAGCCTGCTGTGGAGGGTTCTTCACTGAGGTTGAGAGGTGTGTTGGATAGGACTGACCCCACCTGCCCCTTGCTGGTCCTGTACCCGCCCTCTCCCCAGCCTCACCTGGGGTGGGAGGAGCTGGGGTGTGGCTGGGTCCCTGAGGCCTCCCCTTTCTCAAGAGTGTCTTTGCTTCCTCCTCCACCACTGCCCTGCTGTGCTGTGTCCACATCCCTCCGGCCCCCGCCCCAGCCTCCTGACCCTGCTCTGGACCCACACGCTCACAGTGCTGGTAGAGGCGGCTGCCTCCCAACGCAGCTCGTCCCTGGCTTCCAACAGGCTGAAGATTGCCCTGCAGGTAACAGAACCGGTCACAGCAATGATAACCCTGGTGGGAGGGTGCCTGGGGTCAACTCTGATATCTCCCTCAGAACTTGGAGATCTGCTTCCACGCTGAGGGCTGTGGCCTGCCGCCCGAGGCTCTGCACACTGCCACCTTCCAGGTAGGGGCTTTGGGTGAGCTTCCCCGCAGGAGGTCCGGGGAGCCTGCCTTTTGGCACTCACCTATGTCCAGGGCCAGCTACATAATTTATGGGGCCCAGTACAAAATGAAAAGCTGGGCCCCTTATTCAAAAGTTATTCAAAAGTTATTCAAATTTTAAAACGGTGACAACAGAACCTGAAACCAAGCCTGGGTCCTCCTAAGCACAGGGCCCTGTGTGCCTGCACGGGGGCGGTGGGGTCAGGGAAGCACACCCGTGAAGCCAGCCCTGTCTGTGCCTCTCCTGCTGTCTGCTTGGCCTGAGGGTGGCTCCTGCCTGTGGCCCCATGACCCAATACTTTCCATTTCAAATGGGCATCTTACCCTTGACCGCGAGCTCCTGGAGGGCGGGCCCTGGCTGTGGTTGGGCGTGGGGTCCATTTGGATTCTCAGCTGTATGTGTTCCCAGGCTCTGCAGAGGGACCTGGAGCTGCAGGCGGCCTCCAGCCGGGAGCTCATCCGGAAGTACTTCTGCAGCCGCATCCAGCAGCAGGTGAGGTCCCTCCCTTGTGCTGTGCCCTCTGCAGCCTCTGGAGCACCTCGCTTCCACTGTGTCCCTGCTGACCCTGCCCCTGCTCCCCACCCCAGGCAGACACCACCTCTGAGGAGCTGGGGGCTGTGACAGTCAAGGCCTGCTACCGCGCCTCTGAGCAGAAGCTGCGTGTGGAGCTGCTCAGCGCCTCCAGCCTGCTTCCCCTGGACTCCAACGGTGAGTGGAGGCTGCCCTTTGGCCACTCCCCGTGGTCCCGTCCTGGCCCTCCTGTCTCAGCGACCCTTGGGGCTCTGCTCACCCTGCAGGAGCTCTGGGTGCATTTCCTCCAGTTACCAGGAGGGGTCAGTGCTGCTGAGCAGAGCATAGCTGTAGGGGTGGGGTACCTGGGAGACCCTCAACTAATGCACACGCCCCCGCCACTTGCCAGGCTCCAGCGACCCCTTTGTCCAGCTGACCTTGGAGCCCAGGCATGAGTTCCCTGAGCTGGCTGCCCGGGAGACCCAGAAGCACAAGAAGGACCTTCACCCACTGTTTGATGAGACCTTTGAATTGTGAGTGGGTCCTGTTCTTCTCCCAGTCCCCTGCCTCACTTCCCCCAGGTAGGCTCCCTCAGGCCTACTCCTCCTGGCTGGGGCCAAGGGGCTCCCCTGAGATGGCCACATTTGGGCCCAAGGGATGGGGCACCTGGGACAAGAGTGCAGCTGGACGTGGTGGCTCACACTTGTAATGCCAGCACTTTGGGAGGCCGAGGCAGGCAGATCACTTGAGGTCAGAAGTTCAAGACCAGCCTGGCCAACATGGTGAAACCCCGTCTCTACTAAAAATACAAAATTAGCCAGGTGTGATGGTGGGCACCTGTAATCTGAGCTACTCAGGAAGCTGAGACAGGAGAATTGCTTAACCCAGGAGGCAGAGGCTGCTGAGATGGTACCACTGCACTCCAGCCTGGGCAACAGAGTGAGACTCTATCTCCAAAAAAAAAAAGAGGGCCGGGTATGGTGGCTCACGCCTATAATCCCAGCACTTTGGGAGGCTGAGGCGGGTAGATCACAAGGTCAGGAGATCGAGACCATCCTGGCTAACACGGTGAAACTCTGTCTCTACTAAATACAAAAAATTAGCTGGGTGTAGTGGGATGCGCCTGCAGTCTCAGCTACTCAGGAGGCTGAGGCAGGAGAACTGCTTGAACCTGGGAGGCGGAGGTTGTGGTGAGTCGAGATCACGCCACTGCACTCCAGCCTGGGTGACAGAGCAAGACTCCATCTCCAAAAAAAAAAAAAAGCTTGCTTCCCCTGGGGAGAGGGGTGGACTCCCACATGTTGAACTTAGGGACTTCCAGGGAAGGGTCCTGTCTCTGAGGTTCTCAGTAACCTGCTCCCAGTTCCTCAGGACAGGTGAGCGGGGAACACAGGACCCCTGGTTTAAAGCATCAGCTCACGGTCAGAGCAGGCATTGCACACATGGCCAAGAGGTACCAGGCTGAGAGCTGGCTCTGCAATCCTAACCCTGGCTGGTTCCCAATACCAAGCAGGTGAACCCATGTGTCGGTGCTGGGGGTGGCCGTGCTGGGGCTGGCAGCAGAGCCCTGACTCTCCCCACAGCCTGGTGCCTGCCGAGCCGTGCCGCAAGGCTGGGGCATGCCTCCTGCTCACCGTGCTGGACTACGACACGCTGGGGGCCGACGACCTGGAAGGCGAGGCCTTCCTGCCGCTGTGTGAGGTGCCCGGGCTGAGTGGCTCTGAGGAGCCTGGTGAGGTGCCTCAGACCCGCCTGCCCCTCACGTACCCCGCACCCAACGGTAGGCCTGAGCCCAGGGCAGGGTGGTACAGGGACGGGAGCCTGTAAAGCTCAGGCAGGGGCCCTAGAGAGGTGACACCAGGGTCAGAGAATAGCTTCCCTGGAGGTGGGAGCCAGTGGGACAACCATGGCCCATCTCTCGGTCTAATCAACAGACCAGTGAACTTTAAGCTAAGTGTAACGTGACTCTTCCTGCATGGGGGAGTCACCAAGAAGTTTAACTGGGGAGAAGGGTCTGGATCTCACTCAGCGGGGCCACATCCCTGCAGAGCATTTCTGATTCCAGCAACAGTCTGGTGCTTGTGCACTTAAGAGCAAGTGCTAAGCACTTTACGCATGCCAGCCAACGAAGCAGATATTAGCACTCTTTTACAGATGAGTAAACTGAGGCATGAAGAGGTTAACTTGCTAGCTTTAGGTTCTCATATAAAAAGGTAATAATAGCAAGCCGGGCGTGGTGGCTCAAGCCTGTAATCCCAGCACTTTGGGAGGCCGAGACGGGCGGATCATGAGATCAGGAGATCAAGACCATCCTGGCTAACACGGTGAAACTCCGTCTCTACTAAAAAATACAAAACACTAGCCGGGCGAGGTGGCGGGCGCCTGTAGTCCCAGCTACTCGGGAGGCTGAGGCAGGAGAATGGCGTGAACCTGGGAGGCGGAGCTTGCAGTGAGCTGAGATCCAGCCACTGCACTCCAGCCTGGGCGACAAAGTGAGACTCTGTCTCAAAAAAAAAAAAAAAAAAAAAAAAGGTAATAGCCAAACCTTAGGCACATCTCAGCCCCTCGCTGCAGTCGGGTCAGTGTTCCAGCAGCACTCTGTCTGTTACACGACCGGATGCGTCTGTCAGACCACCTCCTGAGCTGGGCTGGCGAGGGTCTGTCACTGGTTTCCTTCCAGGTTGTTGGGGGGATGGGGCAGTGTTGTGCCCCCCCACACTCTTCCCTGCCACCACCAGGCACTGCGTGTCCCCCAGCATCTGACCCCCAAACCCCTCTCTCCGCAGGGGACCCAATCCTGCAGCTGCTGGAGGGCCGGAAGGGTGACCGAGAGGCCCAGGTCTTTGTGAGGCTGCGGCGGCACCGGGCCAAGCAGGCCTCCCAACATGCCTTGCGGCCTGCACCGTAGCCGTAGAGGTTTGCGGTGGGGCTGGGTCCCTGGTGGGGACCTGCAAGGGCTTTCCTGTAGGGTCTGGGGCTTCCCAGTCACAGCATGGCCTTCCAGCTTGGCCTGACACCTGGGGAGCCCCAGCATGCGGAGCGTCCAGAGTGCAGACTCCCCTGCCTTCCACGGTGATGGGGGCTCAGCAGCGGTATCTCTACTCCCACCCGCCTGCCTCCAGCCCTGGCTGCAATGTCTCCACCACACCCTAGCCCCAGGGGGAGCAAACCCTGCCCCTGCCCCCCTTTCGGAAAAGCTGCTCTGGTGGGCAGGGGATTGGGCCATCTGTCTCCTGGCCCATCTGCCTCCTAGCCTTCCTGTTCCAGCCACTGGGGTGGGGGCCAGGTTCACTGGAACCAGGGCTACAGGTGCAGAGTCTCCTGGGGAAGGGAGGAGGACCCTGCCAAAGATGAGGCTCCAGCTGCCCTGAGGGGAGGGTGGTGGCCATTACTAGAGGGAGCCTGGGTCCTCTCCCCAGGGGCTGCCAGCATCCAGGCCAGGAGGCCTGGAGCCAAGAACCTTCTGGCTCTGAGGGAGCAAGAGCTGGCAGGCGGCGGGGCTGGCACGGACAGACGGAAGCAGAAAGGACAGTTTGGCCGCTGTGTCTGCTACGCATGCCTCCTCCCCAGAAAGCACCTGCCACCTAGAAACTTTCTTAGCAAAAAAAATAAAATCAATCCTTTGTCCTCTTAAAATATACCTTTGGGCTACAGTGGGGCCCGGAATGTGAGCCAGGCCAGGTAGCTTCCTCCCCAGCCCTCAGGGGACCTTGAGCTACCCCTACCTTGGAGCAGCTACAAAGCAGGGGGGTGGGTGTGGGAATAACTGAGGCAGAGGCAGGGTTAGGGTGATTTTTGGCTGTGGGCTTTGAACACATCACTTCACCAGGCATACCAGTTCCTGTGGCAACACCAGGACAGGGACCCGTTCCTCAGGGGAGCACAGTGAGCAGGGGCCTCCCGAGGGTGCAGATTGAGGCTGAGGGGCTGCTCTTGAGACAGCAGGGCATAGTGGAGCTGGGTCCCTACCCTGCCTGGGGGGTCAGAACCTGAGGGCTGGTCACCACGTCATCATAGCTGTGTGACCCTCGTTCCACGTGGGAACCTGAGTCTGCACAAGATGAGGACAGGAGACGAGGTTCGTTGAGATGACGTCCAAGGCCCCTGAGACCATGCAAAGAGGATCCCACCAGGTGTCTTCTCACCCCCACCGCACAGCCTAGTTGAGGAGGTGGGAGGGAGGACATGCCTCTTAAGCCTCAGCCCCTCCTCCCTCAGGGGCAGGGTGGGGTGAAGAAGGCAGAAGGCAGGACTTCCTCTGGGCCCTACCAGCAAATCATCCCAATGGGAAGGCACTGGGTTTTTTATTTTTGTGATGGAGTCTCACTCTGTCACCCAGGTGCAATCTCAGCTTACTGCAACCTCTGCCTCCCGGGTTCAAAGGATCCCTCCTGAGTAGCTGGAACTACAGACATGTGCCACCACGCCTGGTTAATTTTTTTGTTTTAGTAGAGATGGGGTTTCACCATGTTGGCCAGGCCTCAAGTGATCTGCCCACCTCGGCCTGTTTTTGTTTTTGAGATGGGGTCTCACTCTGTCACCCAAGCTGGAGGCAGCTGTGCAATCACGGCTCACTGCAGCCTGGACCTCCTGGGCTCAGGTGATCCTCCCACCTCAGCCTCCCTAGTAGCTGGGACCACAGGCATGCGCCACCATGCCCAGTTAAGAAACTGTTCCTCTGAGAAACAATTAGGGGCCCTATTGCCAGTCACCGCTAACCATACAGCCCTAGAGTCCTAGGGCCTGGGAGGCCTCTGCGTCGAAGGCTAAGTGTCCCTAGGTCATCAACCCCTAGGCCTAGGTCGGAAAGCACTTGAACTGTTTTGGGGCCCAGTGGGTTCAGGAAGCTTCCAGGCCTCTCCAGCTGCCTTACCACACCTCAGGGGTGTGGGCACCAACTGTTTCCATGAGTGAGGCAGGGCTCCTGGCCCACCTCATAGTTCAGAGGCCCTCTTTTGGGACCCACTCCCCCTCACCCCCAGGTAAACAAGCTACCACTGCAAGTTCATATTTTATTTCCAATAGGTTTGGAGCTTTGTTGATTTTTGCATTTTTGTAAAAAAGGAAAAAGTTTTCACTTAACTCATTGAAAGCCCTTTCGTGCTGAGCCCAAGGGGGAGCCTGGGCCAGGACCAGACCCTCTCAGCTCCTACCCCAGACACCCGGTGCTGGGGTACAGCTGCTCCCTCCGCCCGCTCTGCCCTCCCGCCCCTGCTGCATCTCTCTCTGTACAGAACAATTTTTAAAATGGAAGCTAAGACACGATATACACTGGACAGGCACACACACACGCACACAGGCGTCCGCCCAGAACAGGGCGGGACACCAGCTGCACTCAGAGAGCACCAAGGAATGCATACGGAGCCCCTCCGGCTAGGAGGGCAGGGCCTGGGCCCCCTTGGTCCTCAGTCTGCACTCCTCCCCGCCAATTGCCCTGCTAGCTGCCAGAGAGGGGAGGGGGCAGGGAAAGCTGGGGGCAGCTGGTAGTGGTCGGGGGGGGGTGGGGAGGTCATAGAATGAGTGCCAGCCTGGTAGGTGGCCCTGGGGCCAGGAGGCTCTTGTGGGGAGTCCAGGGGGAGAGGACTGAGGGTGGACCCTCAGGAACCTGAGGGCTGGAACTCCTGGGCCTTGCCCCTCGAGGAGCTTCAAGGGCCCAGGTGTTGGGAGTGGGGCTGGCCCTGCAGCACTGGCCTCCAGCCCTTACTGTTCTCCCCAGGACTATACATTTGGTAAACCTAGGAGCTAAGCCAGCTGAGACCCCCAGCACACCCCCTCAGGCCTCCAAGGCCCTCACAGCTGGAGGCCAGGCCTGCTCTGGGGGACCCACGTCTTCCACACTCCACCCTTGCCCTGGCAAGGAGGTAGGGGGAGCAGAGCCTGCCCTGAGGGCTTCTCCCCTCCCCTTAGTGCCTTCCAGTCCCACCCTTCCCTGCTCAGGCCCCAGGAAGAAGTTAAAAATAGTTAGTTCCTACATTAAAAAAGAGACAGAAACAGATTATCTGCCAAAAGGCCAGTGGGAGAAGAGGGGATGTCGTCTCTGCGGTAGGAAGGGCAGGGAGTGGGTAGGGGAGGACTGCAAAATAGTTTCTTCTTTTAAAAAGTGCTTGGTAAGTCTTTTAAAGTGTGTGTCTATATCTATGTACAGATATACACACAGACACTGTCCACACCACCACGCATACCTGCACACATACAGAAATGTATACATATACATAATCATATACATATACATACATACACATATATATATATATATTCATATATATATATATATACTTTAAAAAGTCCTAGGTGAGGAGATCTGGGCCAGGCTGGGCCAGGCCTGCAGGGTCACGACTGGAGGGCGTGGGCCCGGCCAGGCTGGCAGATGGGGCACTCGCTGCCCTCAGCGCAGAGCTCACACAGTGCAGCATGTTGGCACGGCAGCACTGCCCGCTTCTGTTCCTGACACTTAAGGCATTTCACCGACTGCATGTGGAACACGGCCTGCAGGGAAAGGGGCATTGTGGTCACCATCCATGGGTCTGGCCCCAAGTTGAGCAAGGAGTTCCCCTGATCCTCACTTCAGCCCCCTTGGGATGGGGAAACTGAGGCACCAAGCTCAACAGTGTGCTCCCAGACCCCTGTTGGCAGGTGAGAGAGCAGGCTGAGCGTCCACCTCTGCATGGCGCGTGGCCAGGCTGCCACAACGCCCACCCCTCACAGAGGCTTCGCCCGGTCTCATTTGACCTTCTAATCCCCAAATGGGGAAAATGAGGCCCAGAAAGGGCTGAGACATGCCCAGGGCCACACCTGGGGGCCTGGCTGCCCGAGAACAGAGGAAAGACAGCTCTTCCCACCATGCCACGTTGGCTCCTGGGACCCAGCAGCAGACCTGGGAAGGCAGGGGTAGCCCTGAGGTCCCGGGCCTCACTGGAAGGTCCACTGCTCCATGGAGGGTATACAGGAGGACGCATTTGGGGCCCAGGCATTTGAGCGCAGCTTGGTCAGGGCTGCCCCCAGGGGTGCTGGGGGTGGCACCGATACCCCTCACCCCCAGCCTTTTCATGTTCCTCAGTGCACTCTCCTCACCCACTCCCAGCAGGCCGGCCTTTTGAGTGCTGGCCCAGTCCTGGACAGAGGCTCTCAGGAAGGAAGCCGTCCCCGGAGCAGCCCGGACCAGGTCAGAGTCCAAGCGCTGGCTGAGGCCACCGTGCACCCTACCCAGTGCTCCCTGACCTGGGCTGACCTTGTCCACTTGTTCCAGATGGGCCCGCAGCTGCTTCTGGAGGGAGTAGAGGGTGGAGAGTGAGAGCGTCTCCAGGTCAGAGAAGGCGGGCAGGGCCTGGGGCTCGGGCCCTGCATGTAGCCGCTCCAGCTCCTCCTGGAGTTTCTTCACCTGCACCTCCAGTGCATCCCGCTGCTCCCGGGCCAGCTCGCACTCGGCGCCCGCCGCACTGGCCCGCTCACCAGCCTCCTCCGCCTCTTTCTTCCAGGCATCACAAGCCTGTGGGCCCAGCATATAGTCTCATCACAATGGCCCTGCCCTGCCCCCTGTCCCCAGAGAGCACCATCTCTCGGGGGGCCACTCTGGCTGTGGGGCCTGCTGGGAAGCTGGGTTGGCTGTCTGGGAGGAGAGCAGGGAGGAGGCTGATGCTGTCTGCACAGAGGTTTCAGGACCTACACGAGACTCTCCCCTCTGTGGCCAGGGAAAGGGGCCTGGGCCTAGCACAGCAGGGGGCACAGGGTAGAGCTGGGATTCTGGCCAGCACCCACAGGGTAGCCGGCTGCAGCTGGACAGGGGGCCCATTTCAGAACCCGGAACCTTGGACTGGGAACCCTGGAGAGGCGAGGCTACTGGGAGGAGGCGGATGGTCCGGGGACAGACTACAAGCAGCTTGCAGAGGGCATTCGAAGCCTGCAACAACAGTAACCACCCAGGGTCCTGACTGGCAAGGCAAGTCCTCCCAGGGGGAGAGTGAGCGAACAAAACTAGTTTCTGAGGCCGGGCGCGGTGGCTCACGCCTGTAATCCCAGCACTTTGGGAGGCCGAGGCGGGCTGATCACAAGGTCAGGAGATCGAGACCACAGTGAAACCCCGTCTCTACTAAAAATACAAAAAATTAGCCGGGCGCGGTGGCGGGCGCCTGTAGTCCCAGCTACTCAGGAGGCTGAGGCAGGAGAATGGCGTGAACCCAGGAGGCGGAGCTTGCAGTGAGCCGAGATCGCGCCACTCCACTCCAACCTGGGCGACAGCGTGAGACTCCGCCTCAAAAAAAAAAAAAAAAAAAAAAAAAACTAGTTTCTGCTCTGTTCTTCAAGCCCCCGCTTTCCCCCACCCCACGCCCGCTCTGTGAAGGAAGGTCTTGGGCTGGATGCCACCAGGTACTGGGGAAGGCCGATGTGGGGCCTGGTACCTGCTTGGCCTGCTTCCAGGACTCCTCCCACTGCTTGATGGTGCTGTTGGCTTCATCCAGCTCTTGCCGAAGTCGGGCCAGCTCAGCAGCCCCTGGCCCTGATAGGAAAGCGGGGGAAGTGCCCGGGGAGAAGCTTCCAGAGGCAAAGTGCTCCCAGATGCTGCTGTTCATCCCGTTCAGACCTGCCCCAGGGAGGGGAAGAACATGAGCCTCGGAGGGCTTTGGGCCCAGGCCCTGGCC